ACATCAGAGGTCCACAACCCCGCTGCACAGACCAGGCTGGGTGGTTCCACTGCCTCCCACTTTGACAGTCATCACTGCAACCCAGGCTGCTGCTCCTCATACGCTGCACCAGGAATAGCAGCTCCCACTGCCCACATAAGCAGGATGATCCTGGTAACCAGCAAAGCGAACAGCGAGGCTGAACAGGTCTCTATTATGTTACTAAACGAGTTACCTTCCAAATTACCAGCATCCCCGGGAGCTGGGAGCACACTGCTCAGGCAATCAGGATAATTCCAGCTCTTGCAATTTGTTCCAGACAGCCTGAGACACCCGTAAGAGCACCGAGACTCTGGGCACATCATTTGGCAGCTCCGGGCCTGGCACACGCTGTCTCTGCCAGTCCCACCCAGAGATGCAGGCAGCTGATCCAACTGGCTCAAGAAGCCACCAGGACTCTTCGAGAGTGTTTAATCCAGGCTGGTTGGAAGCCAAAAGAAATTAATTCTGCTCGGAAAGGACAGGGCAGGATCCTTTCAAGTGCTGCGGTTTTAGCAGCTCCTGGTGTTGGGCGAACACCGGACCCAGCTGTGGGCACTCTGAGGGGATGTGATGGCACTGGGAAAGGACCAGAGCAAAGGAGCACGGAAAACTCAGGTCAGGGGAGGTTGGGCAGCACAAATCTCTGACTGGGGAAATGCTGGAGTTTATTAAAGCCATAAACATGCAAAAAATTGAATTATTATTGTTCAAACCCGACTGTACAAAATCTAGAAGGCACCAAAGGAAATCTCAGGTAGCTGGTGCTGGAAAAAAAAAAAAAGGGATAAGCACCTTTGTTGTGATATGTAATTAAACCATAGGACCCATTACCCACCACACACTGATACCAGAAGTTATAAACAAGCTCCAAAACACAAGCGAGGAGGACAGACCCCTTGGACCACACAGCTTAAAAGCCCTTTTAAAAAGACCCTTTTTTTCCCCACCTCAAAAATCCCTAGTTTAGGAATCAGAAAGATCAGGATCATTTTAGCCATGCCTCATCCTCAGCACTCAGCCTGGGAGAGCAGGAGAGGATGTTTGTGGGTAAACCCAGCACAGCAGTTCTTTGGGTTGTTGGATCCAAAGCCCAGGAGAAAACTTCCCATGAACACCGAGAGGAACAGGCCTGAACCCTCCAAGCCCCCTGTCCAGGCTCCCATCTCCATCCACTGCCATCTGAGGAGTTTGGGGATAGGACAACTTTGTTCCCAAGATCACTGTGGGTTTCTGAGGTTTCCAACCCAAAACACGTTGCAGCAATAGAGTTAAAAAATCCCTTGGAAAAAGTGCATTAAGATCATACAGTGCCAGGCCAGCTGAGAAACTGCAATTTGGGGTGATTTAGAGCTGCTAATGAGTGATGTCATCACTGGAGTGAACCCAGTCCCCTAAGAAATGTGAAAATGGAGTGAGCAGGAGCTATAAAATACACGTATTTCTCTCCACAACAGCAACAGGCACATCCCAGCAGGGCAGCTTTCCTGGGTGCTCATCTACAGCTGAAGGAGTCCACAAGAAATCACTAAAAAAAAATGACAAAGGGACCAAAATCTTTTCAAGAAGCAGCAATCTATTCTTTTCCCAGGCCTTTATTAACAGCAAGTCAGCAGGATTCCTTGGAAGCAAATGAGAAATAGGCACCACTGTGGAAAGAAACCGAGGGAGGGTTTTCTGGAACGACAACCAAGCCATTTTGGGCCACTGTCTGTTAGACTCGGGTTTAGCTCGATAGGATATTGATCCTGGCTGCACAAAACACAGCCCTGCTGTATTTTCTGATTAACAACTTCTGCTACCTGGTTTTTGACAAACAGAATCTTCCATCGTGGCAGGGAGATTAAAAAAAAAATATATTTATCGATAATTCTGGGGTACAGGCAAAAAATAAAAAAAAATAAAAAAAAAAAGGGGGTTGGAAAAAAACAGGTGGGAAGGATTTCTGCATGATCACTGTAGTATTTACATAAGGGTGAGTTCAATCCATGCAGAGCCTTCCCCCACAGCCTCCTCCAAAACACACCCAGACTCTGCCCTTTTTCCTATGGAAACAGATAACGAGAGCAGAGCTGCTCTTTGCTTCTGTGGGGTTTTAGCTAAAAGCTGAAAATGAGATCAGATTTTCTGACATTCAGCATTTACCTTCATAAAAACGGGCACTCAACGGGATTAGCGGGTACACAGCTCTGTGTGTGGTATCATGAAACAGGTTCTCATGATCTTTCATGCTTACACAGAAATAAAATTTAAGAAAAAAAAAATGAGAGAGAGAGAGAAATCCAAATCCCTCTGTAATATTGAAGATCAGTGTGAAACTGAGCTTGGGAACCGAACACTGATCACTGCCTGGGAAACATGAAGAAACATTTCCAAGTAGAAACCTTGCACATATGGCAAAGGAAAGCTTTTGATAGAGTAGTAAAATGGTATTTCAAAAACTGATGTCCTACCTATCTATATTTATAAGAACACATTAAGCACTGGCTTAGCACTGTCCTCTTTTATTATTCCCTAATAAATTACAGCCTGATCATTTTTTGAAAGACACAGACCTGAATCTCCCTTCCACAGAAGTGAAAATTAAGGTTCCCCCTCATGTCACCACCTCTCAGTCCCTGCCTGGAGAACCAGCTGGGTTTGGCAGCAGCAAATGTTCTTTCCTCAACAACCTGCCTTCAGTCTTGATGCAGAACCGAGGAGGATTGTCTCAAATGAGACAAAAAGGGGTGTTTGTGTCAAATAAACAGCCTTGCTCTGGCTTTCCCAAGCCCCTCAATCAAAACCCCAAGCCCAGGTGAGCAGAGGGGGGATGAAAAGGTTTCTGGGCAGTGAAGGAAGCCCAAGGAAGAGGAGCTCCTGCCTCCCAGCACAGCCCCATGGCAACACAGGAGCGAGCTAAGAACATCACAAGGATCTAGGAAATGCAGAGCAAAACACTACAGGCTACAGAGAAAACACTAATTCAGTCCCCTGTGTGAGGCTGCAGATCTTGCAGTGCTGTTTCTCTGCTGCAGGCCCCTCCAGCTCATTTACTGGGCTGGAAATGCAGCCCCGTGCTCAGGAAGGAGCCTAACCCAGCACACGAGGAACGCTGGTATTTTCAGGAACCTCCTCCCAAACACCAAAAAAATGTTAAATCCAGCCCTTGAATTAGAGGATTAGAGGCCTGTGGAGACGATTCTTGGACTCAGTGCCGCTGAGTTGAGCCTTTGCCACCCCTGCACTGCCTGCCTGGTGGGAAGCCCCTGTACGAGCCCAGTTGGTGTCACCATGGGAAACCAGCGGCTCTGACGCGGCCGGGACCGCGAGGAGAGGAACACGCCTGTTTGCAGATGGAACGGGGCCGCTCCTTCCAGCTGCCTAATCGAGCTGATAGTCCACAATTAGGCTCCCAGATCAAACAGAGCTGCAAACAACTCCCTCAATAAACCCAGCAGCGCTGAGCTACCGGCACTCCGCGGCGCACGGTCCGCGATGATCCCACGAGCGACGCTTCGGCCGCTCTCGCAAAACTTTGAGAGTCTTGCTTGTTAAAAAAAAAAAACCACCAAAACCAAATGTCTCTTGATTCTTGGTGTGCGTTTATGAGGGGGAAAATAAAAGAAAAAAAAAAAAAAAGCTATGTCTAAACAATATGGCTGGAGTTCAGAAAAGCTTTTCTGTAGAGCCTTAACTTTAGGTACAGAACAACTGGAGTCAGCTGAATTCAAAGGTGTACTTGAATGCTTTGTTGAAGGATAAATTAAAACACGTTCCAAAGTGCCTTCCAGAATCAGGGCCTTGATTTTAATTTTTTTTAACTCTCAAAAGGGCATAGAACTGACTAGGAATCAGCACATGCCATGGGTGTGAATAATTGTAGCATCTGTGCTAATTCTCTTCTCATCCTGGTCCCCCCTGTGCTCCTAAGTATGTAAATCTGATTCTCCTCGTGACTCCACTCAAGTTCCTATTGATTAAATCCCCAGCCCAGCAGCAGGAGAATCAAACCCCACATATTTATTCTCTTCCTCTCAATACATAAAGAATTCCCTTTGGCCTCTCAGTTGCTGGATCACATGGTGCCCTGAATGCAAAGAGAATTACAGTGATAATGTGGCTAATGAATACATTTATATATGTATGCAAGCATTTCCCTGCTCTCCAACCAGAAAATATAGAGACATTCACACGCAGGAGCAGAGAAGGTGTGGGAAAGGAGGGATTTGGGGAGCATATTAATACCAGGCTGGGGAAAACTGACTGAAATCCTTCCAAGCTGAAGGCTGCAAGCTCAGGACATCATGGATGGAACATTTCCTTTGGAGCTTTAAAGCCCAGCTTGTAGACCACAATATTTGTAGTATTGTATTACTTAATATTTGTGTTTCCATTATATCTTCCATTCATATAAATAAATACATATTACAACAGTTTCTAATGTAAAATATTTTAAGCACATCCAAGAAAGAAACCAGGGATATAATTTCAAACCACTGCACAAAATACACAGGTGATATTTGCCTTAATGAGATGTTTTGAATTCTTTTCAAACATCTTGGAGTTCTGTTCAGAAAAGTTATTTTGTCAAGCAGAATAAATCCACTCCTGCAGAAAGTTTGCTGATTTCAGAGTTGTAATAGCTTAAAAATGGGATGCTTTTAATTTGTTACCACATTCCATGTTGACTTCTAAAGTCATGCTGTAATGCCAGAGAATAGATTGGTTTAAATCAGGTTCAAGTGCCAGTGGCAATTAGAACCTGCAAAGCCAGGGAAACGTCAGCAAGAGTGTGGGTAAGACACACACCAGAATATCTACAAACAAATATCCTTCAGGAAAAACCACTTTTTAGTTGGTTCCAAACACTCTAAAAGCGACTCGTTCAGCACAACAAATCCTACAGGCAGAAATGTAGGGATGTAACACTTCCCTCAAATCAATCCCACCCCAAATCAGAGCCAGAGTCCCCCTTGAAGCCAGGGTGGGACATCACTTACCCCGTGAGGACCACGACAAAATCCATCACGTTCCAGCCGTTCCGGAGGTAAGAGCCTTTGTGAAAAACAAACCCCAGAGCGATGATTTTTATCCCAGCCTCGAAACAAAATATTCCAATAAAGTAGGGCTCGGTGTCGTCCTGCAAGAGAGCAAAAACCAGGGGAATCAAGGGAGTTGCTGCTCTGAGAAGTCACACGAACAGCTACAGGCACCAAATCCACACCCCTGTCTACTCCCTGAGCTGAAACCTTACTCAAAGAGGAATTTGATTATTATTTCCCTGGAAGTTATTTATTTATTTATTTATTTATTTATTTTTAAATTGGGAATTCTATTCGCCTTCATTCTGATTCTTTTTCACCCCGTTCTTTCCAAGCCGTGATTCCAGAAGGAATTTTGAAGCTGCACTTTTGCTCTAAGGGCATATTTAAACTTGAGATCACCTTTTCCAGCAGTTATTGACACAGAAAAGGAAGCGCTTCACAATTCATCCAGGAACCTGAAACAAGAGGGTACCTTGGAGATTAACAGTCAGCACAGACAGCTTGTGAACACGGACAGGAAATTATTTATTTATCATTCATTCCATCAGTTCCTCCTTCACTCTTTCCCCTCCATTTTCTAAATTTCCACAGCCACAATCTCATTTGTTTTCCTTTCACTGTGTGTCTGATTCATGGAGAAAACGCCTTTCCCTCCCAGCAGGAGCAATAGGATTTGTGCCTCAGGTCCATGGGGCAGATTTTGGGATCTCAGCTTCATGTCTTACCTCCTACAGAGAAATTAAACTTAGTCTCCACAGTTTTACTAAACCATTTATTTCACCTATTTTTATCTATTTATTTCATTTTTATTATTTATTTTATATTTATTAATTATATATTTTATATAAATGTCTATATTTATTTATATATAAATGTCTACATTATTTATATATAAATATGTCTACATTGTTTATATACTATGTATTTGTAGTTATTATTTATGTTGTAAATTTATTTCATCTAAACCATTTATTTTAGCAACTCCACCTCCCACACCCCTGTGGGCCTGGCAAGGTGACAGTCACCTGCAGATCACACACACAGGTACTGAATGGCCACAGATCTCTCTATAATCTTTATATTATATTATATTATATTATATTATATTATTTATATTATATCATATCATATCATATATATTTATTATAGATTATGTAGTATTAAATTACTGACAGGAGTTTCAATACAAATTCAGTGCCAAATGAAAACATGTACATTTGGAAGTCAAAGGCATAGGCAAAAAATGGGAACAAAGAGGTAAAAGCAAAGGAGATCAATTGCAAGACCACATTAATTGGCTTTGGCACCTGTAACCAATTTCCAAATGTGCCTTAGATCCCTGTTTTCAGCTGAAGTCAATGGAAGCAAAGCGGCCCTGCCCGAAGAGAAGCAAACTTCCAAATTAAGAGATTAAGAGATTTTTTTTGCCAGTGGCATTTCTGGCCATCAGAGCCCCGGAGTTGAGCTGCTGTTTGATGGACAGTTGTTTCCAATTTGCAATTCTACTAATGACAAGAGGGGATTGTTTGTTCTCTTCTGCAAAAAGAGCAGGAATGTCAAGGCTTGTGGTCCCAGAGGAAGAAGCAGGTTTGACACAGGGATGTACTTGACAAACACAGCAGCTCCTGCTCAGCTCTGACCCAGACCCACACTTGGTGCACTTGTTACAGAAAAGCGGGTTTTTCACCCCTAAATTCGGGCCTGTTCAGCCTCAAGAAGAGAAGACTGAGAGGGGACCCCATCTACATCCATCAGGATCTGCAGGGAGGGGCAGAGGATGGAGCAGGCTCTGCTGGGGGGGCCCAGCAATGGCACAAGAGGAACAGGAAGAGCTGATGCCCAGGAAGTTCCACCTGGACATGAGGAAGAACTTCTTCACTGGGCAGTGACTGAACAGAGACCTGAGAGGGGGTGGAGTCTCCTCACTGGGGATATTCCAGAACCTGGATGCCATCCTGTGCCATGAATTCTGGGATGGCCCTCCTGGAGCAGGGAGGTGGCACCAGCTGGGGCACTGTGGTCCCTTCCACCTGAGCTGGTCTGTGACTGTGTAACATCACAGCACATCCACCCAGAGGGGCTTGGCTGGAGGCACATCCCACTCAGCAAGTCCACCAGAGAGCACTGATCACTGCAGGTGCCTCCAAGCTGTTGGAAAATACCCCCTCTGGACAGGCTTTCCCATCAGGGGCTGAATTAAGGTTTTATTCCTACAAATCAACACCCTACATCCCTAAACACCTCGGAGAGCCCAGCTCTTCCACACACTTCATCCTTCACCCTGAATTATCTCCATTCCTTCCACTTTTCCTGCCTCAGCAACCCCCCCCCTCCCCCATGGCCTGGCAGGTGACAGTCACCTGCAGATCACACACACAGGTACTGGCTGGCCAGACACAAAAACAGAGCAAGGCAAAGCTGAGCTCTCACTGTAGGCCTTTGGCTGAAACAGAGAGGAGAAAATAAAAGCCCACACCCAAATTAACTTCTCCTCCAGCCAAGGAGATGTTCCCACCAGCAGCAGCACCCCCAAGCCCCCTGTGCCTTCACAGGGCCTCCCTGATGCTGCTCAGAGGACACAAATCCTCACTGACAGACCTCCAGCTGCCCATCCCAGTGCTGTTTACCCACAGAGAAACAGCACCAAAGGCCATCAGACCTTTCATAACCTTCAACAGAAATCCTACAGCAAGCATCTTCTTCCAGCAGTTGCTCCACAGCAAGAGCTGGAGGGATCCCAGGGCTCCAACCCAGTACAGAAAAGAGGGAAGAAGGAAGAGGGGGTCAGATATCATCCTGTGTGGTTTCAGAAGTTGCTCCTCTGCTTTCCCTGATGAACAGAGGGACTGCTCTTCAACCCCACAACACCTCCTAGCTCAACAGCTATTATGGATAATCCGTGGAAACAAAGGCCTCCCAGCCCATCCCATATTTCCATCCCACAACTACGAGCGTGCCTCTAAAAATAACTCCTCTAAGACACACAAAAAAAGCTACCTTTACCCACATCCACTCCTCCACATTACTCCCTCACTTCCTTGAAGCCTCGTCTCTACTCTGCTCCCAGTCTTTGCTCAATCTAGGTCAGGTGCCTTGTGATTACAGCTCCCAGCTTTAAAGAGCCAGGCTTCAGGTACTCCAGGGTTTGATGGGATATGCTCTTCCCAAAGCTAAGAACTACACAGAGCACTTAAGGAGTGGGTCAAAGAAGTCCTGAGCTTCTAGGGAAGCAGGAAGGCTGACAGATGGATTTGGGTGTTTATCATGAAGGAAAGCGGTCAGGTTGGCAGTGAGGAGCTGGGGAAATAAGAGGGGATGGAAAGAGGGTCTTTTCTAAAGCCTGCCTGAACTTGCACTGACTCAGCCCAAGAAATCAGGGCAGTCACAATGAGATGAAAACTGAAACTTGTGCCCCTTTGGGTAGAGGTCCCAAAGAGGGATTTGCAGGACTGTGTGTGATGGGAGGAGGGCAAGGACGTGGGTGAGATGCCCTGGGCAGCACTGGAGTGGCACTGCCCTGGGCTCAGCATCCCTGCTGCCAGCACGTCCTGCAGCCCCTCCAGACAGGAGGCTGTGCCCTGCTTGGGTTCAGGAGTGGGAGAGCAGGTGATAATGAGTGTCAGTGTGTGAGCTGGGATGGAGGGCGGAGAATTTGGGCAGCAGCCAGAGCTGTGCCAGCAAGTTGTTTGCTGTGGACACAGCAAAGCTTGAGACTGGGCCAAACACACATTTAATCAATATGTTTCAGATCAGAAACAACTTCTGAGTCTGGAAAGTCATTACTATTCCTAGTCCACGTCCTAGTGTCTTTCCTTGGCCTTTGGATGTGACAGCCTTGATGGGTTTGGGAGTGAAGGGCTTTGTTCATGCAAAGGTTAATATGAACAGCTCACATATGGCTGCAGGAAGTGCCTGTGGATGGGATAGAGCACTAAATCCATTAGGAAATTGCAAGAGCTGTCATGGTGAATATATGAGGAAAGTCATATCTGCCCTCACATCAAAAACAGCCCGAGCCCTGCAGGGAACACCCTACAGACCCCCTGGTGTCTCCAAACAGGGGCAGCCCCAGAGCAGGGCAGAAAAGAGATATCCTGTCCTACCAGTTCTGAGATCACCTCTGTCGGGCTGGGCTGGATCTAAAGTCACCTGAAGCTTCTCATGGAAAACTGAGCCATCAGGAAGGAAGCAGGGAGAGGAGGAGTGTGTCTCAGCCTGCACAGCCAAGAGCACCGTGGGCATCCACCAGCGAGGCCATTCAGGGCTGGGAGGGGAAGTTCACATTCCCACATTTGGAGCTCTCAGCACCAGGCTCTGGGCCACTCAGTACAACTCCCTCAGCATCTTTCAGGTTGGCAGCACTCCAGTGTGTACAAACAATGCAATATTTATTGGGGCACAGGGAGACTGACTCTACAACCACTGGCTGAGGCACTCACTGAGATGGGCTGGAGCAAATCTGCAGTGTCCCTGTTCCACTGGGCAATTACTGATGTGAATTAAACCCTTCCAGCAACCGAAGCACGTGAGAGCTCCAGCTCAGAGCAGGCAAGAACCTCAGGGGTAGGTCAGTCTGCTGCTCGTGGGAGAACGAGCTTATTTCTCTTGTCTGAAGGTGAAACCAATATTCCAGTTGACCACTGATCACCAAACTGGTGTTTTTTCAGAGCTTTTGACCAAAATTTCCATCCCAGAGCCAAGTAACACTTTTTCACATACAGAGAAAGGACATACAGAGAAAGATTGCTCCTAACTCACGCATTCCAAATCCTGAAATGTTGGAGGTACTGAGGCATCACTTGTGCTTCATTAGCCCTGTTTGTCAAGTAACAGGAGCACAGAAAACAGCCCAGTGAGATTGCACTGCAGGTTCATCTCTTGGGTCTCAGGGGAGGTAAATACAAGAAAACACTGATTAGAAACCAAAAATCATTAAAATGTTTGTATGGTCTCCTCCCTCTTCTCCTCAGCTTTAACAAACAGACAGTCTTAAGATTTTTGTCTTTGTATCTGTGGAACAAAGTGCCCAGGCAGCTCTGGTTTTACTTCAACAACTCTGCCTACATCTCCAGTCATCAAAGGCTCGTGATGTGCATCTCACATCCTTAACATCTGATTAACTCTTCAGTGATGAGCCCTCACTCCAGTTTGAATATTTTAATGAACCCAGGAGAAGGAAATATATATCCACCAATCATTAACCAAAAAAGGCCAGTTCCATTCCTGCCAAAGACAGCAAAAAAGCACCTGCTGTTCTGCAGAGGCTTAGAATTTGGCTCAACAAACCTGTAAATGTATGGGAATGTTCACCCACTCTGGTTTCACATGGATTTGTAACATTTTCAATGAAACAACTTCCAGTTTGTGGAAGCAGCAGGAACATTCTAAGGCAGTTTCACTTTGAAACCAGCAGACAGTTTTTCTTACTCCCGATGCTTAATCTTTCCAGCATGTGTTGAAAATAAAAAATATTTCATTACTTGTAAAGACTCTCATTGTTATTCCATGATAAACTCCTTCATACTTCAGAGTTATGAATGTGCTGTAGATAAAATGGCCTAAGAATACCTGGATCAAAGGCAATGGTGCCCAACAGGGACAAAAATCAGGAGTTAATTCTTCCTTCCTCACCAAGGCTGAACCAACAAGGCAGAGACTGTGCATTTAATACACCCAGTTATCTTACAATATTTGGTGGTGATGGCAGTGCCCCCTTTGGAATGATTTGTGCAGGAACTGAAGGTGTTTGTGCTGTAAAATGGAATCTATACAGGGGGGGGAAGGACAATAAAATGCCTGTGGGATTCCCTTATAAATCTGGGGATATAGAGAAACATAAAACCAACTTGTTAACCGTAACTGCTGCTGCTTAAAACATCCCAAAGGGTAACCAGGCCAAAACACCCACAAAATTGCTTTTCCCCTTCACTGTTCCATGTGTTCACAACCATGGAAAACATTTTCCAGCTCGGTCACTACCCTGGGTCTGAACCTGTGCTCTGCTCACAGCCCCAGGCTGACCTTGCTGACCACTCCTAAAGCACACAGAGCATGTTTAAATGGCAGAAAGATGGACATAAATGCATGTATTCATCTTATCCTCATCTCTCCTTAATTAGAAATAACTCAGGGACAGTAAGCAAACCCCATGGAGGGTGGACAGGCAGCAGGAGCAGCTCCATTTCTGATTTAGGACCAAGTGGCTGACCCTGATGCTCCTTCTGGATCCATCACTAACACACTTGTTCCTGCTTCTGAAGGATGACACTGTGAGAGTTGCCCACCCTTGGAAACTGCAGCAACCAGTGTACAGGCCCTCTAGTTTTTGGCAGCGAGCCTAATATTATTTTTGTTTGCATAACATTATATCTACATGGCAAACACATATGGATCCCTATTTATTCATCCATATTTATTCATCCTTTGAACATGCACCAGGATTAATGCATTTGGGCATGCAAGACTTTCCAGATCATTAACAGGAGGAGAAAAATCAACCCAAGTGTTACACATTTTTCCTACAGTGATGATAAATGGAAGAATTGTTTTGAAGCTATTCTTCTATTTTCTTTTGAAATAAGGTAATTGGGCTCATTACCATAAAGCCTGCAGGGAAACTGTTTTCCTCTGTAAGCTGGTTTCATTTTCTTTGGAAGGGAAGTGCAATCATCTAAACCCCAAGTTCGCTTTGTAGGATCCTTCACATGCACAGTGACAGGAAGAGACACATGAACCTTAAAGGTTACTCTGTTCTAGCACTCCCTGGGAAAATATCACAGAAATATTCAAGATTGATTGATGATTTAAGAGATAATTCTGAGCATTCATCAGCCCTTTCTTGTCTTGGTTTAGAGACAACCTAAGTTTGAAGCTTTTCTGATCAGAACAGGAGCTCCATCTCCTCTCCTGCAACTGGGCAGGGCTGGCTGGAGTGATGAAGCATTTGAGCAGATGGGATCAGGAGGGGAGAGTTATTCTTGTTGGCACTGACTGATTTTTTTTGTGATTGGCAGATCAATGCCTGTTTGTTTACATGTGGATCTTTAAAATAGATCCCAGCACTCCCAGCACTGGGGAGGGGGATGAGTGTTTTCTGTACCAGAGCAGAACAAAAACTGCACATAAATAAATGCAACTCACCAATCTCTCCGACATCGGCGTCTTGTCTCCATCCGGCAAATGTTGTTCCAGAGCCAGCACGATACAATTGGCTATGATTGTAGCTAAAATCATGTATTCAAATGGAGTGAGGACCAAAAAGTTAAAGAAGACACTGGACAACACAAGGAGAACCTCATCCAAATCCCGTTTCTACCCCCACAGTCACATTAATTGAGTATTTTAAGATTTGTCGTATTTTTGAAGACATTTAGTGTCCCTGACTTCCTCAGTTCTTTCTGGGTTGTGTTTGGAAGAACAGTAGGCAATTGGCTCTCTTCTTTGAGAGAGTTAGAGTTTTACACGGAGTCAGAGTTACTCAAGGAATTTGGGAGCAAGGAAGGAAAAGGTCCAAAGGAAACAAAAATCCTTTAATAATTATTGGTTTAAAATGAGATTGATAAGCTAACCTGCCTCAGAACAGATTATACAGCTGAACACCATCTGCTGAATCGTCCTTCAGAAACATCTCCCTTCAACACACAGTGAAAAAAAGTTTGATTTAGAGTGTCTACACAGGTCCAAAACATAAATTACTGCCAGATTGCAATTCTCCCAGAGAGAATAAAATCACCAGCGCCCTGTCGAGATGTAGGAGGGAAGCAATCCCAGGGGAAGGATCCCAACCCGCCACTGGGTCCCCCCTTTTGCTGTTGTCTCCAGCCCTGAGCTGTGCCAACCCCTGGCTCTCCCAGAGCAGAGCCATGCCAGGGACGGCAGCGGGGCCTGAGGGTGGGAGATGGTCCTGCTCAGCACCACGAGGAGAGGGACTCAGCACCAGGGAGAGACTCAGCACCAGGGAGAGATCAGTCCAACGCAGCAGGGAGCTCTGCTCAGCACCAGGGAGTATTTGTTTGGCACCACGGAGAGCTCAGCTCAGCACGTGGAGAGCTCAGCTCAGCACGGCGGGGAGCTCAGCCCAGCACCAGAGAGTATCGGTTCGGCACCACGGAGAGCTCAGCTTGGTACCAAGGACAGCACCAATTGGCACCGTGGAGAGCTCGGCTCAGCACCGCGGTCAGCTCAGCTCGGCACTGTCCAACATCGCAGGGAGCTCTGCTCAGCACCGCGGGGAACTCGGTTCTAAACCGCAGAGAGCTCGGCTCAACACCTCGGACAGCTCAGCTCAGCACCGCGGTCAGCTCAGCTCAGCACCGCGCAGAGCTCGGCTCAGCATCACGGAGAGCTCGGTTCAACACCTTGGAGAGCTCGGCTCAGCACCCCGTAGAGCTCAACTCAGCACCCCGCAAGGCGCTGCACAGCACCCCGTAGAGCTCGGCTCAGCATCACGGAGAGCTCGGCTCAGCATCACGGAGAGCTCGGCTCAGCACCGTGGAGAGCTCGGCTCAGCACCGCGGACAGCGCCCGGCCCCGCCCGCCCAGCGGCCCCGCGGGGAAGAGCCGATGGCTCTGCCGGTCCCGGCGGCTCCGCCGATCCCACGGGCTCCGCAGCGCCGTGGATCCCCTCCCCACATCCCCGGGAAAGACGCAGCCGAGTGGCCCAAGAGGCAGGACAGGGACAGACTGCACCCGGCCTCGCGGGCAGGGCGATGCTCTGCCTGCCACCGGGGCTCTGGGGCTTGTTTATCCACGCTGGAATGCGGGGAAGGAGAAATGGGCGAGGAAGCACAGCAATCCCTGGGATTGTATAACGTGGACAGAGAAATCAATACGTGTGTGTGTGTGTTCAGAGAGAAGGGAAGTGCGTTCGCTCCATGGGTGTATTTTTCCTGTGAGCCCCTCAGGAAGTGAAAACTGGGGAAGCCTAAACAGGAGCTGGCCTCTGTGGCAACTGAAAGTGTTGCTAGGAGGCTGGGAGGAGGCCTGGCTGCTGTTAGCTGGGGATTAACAGGGGTGTGATATCAAATGAAAAGAAAACAGCCGGCTCCCTGGAGACCACCAGTGCGATGCACTCCTGTACACACACACACACACACCAGCTACTCCCTGGTGGCCTCAAACACTCTGCTCCCCTTTGCTCATGGCTTACAACCAGCACTGCCAGCAAAGCCCCCTTTCTGAGGATCATCACTCAGCCTGGGAGCTGGGGCTTGGGCAGAAAGCATCTGCCCCTTGCACGACACAGCAGACGATCCCTCTCCCCACTTACTGCCTCCCTCTGCCTCAAGGCTTTGCTAATATTGTTTTTTGTTTAGTACAGCCTAAGCTTAGACTACGCACCTAATCAGAGTGCCATGATTCATGTTGATTCTAATGGATTCAGGAGGGGATGTGCTAAACCTGAGCTGCAATGATTGTATTCCTGGGATTCGCCAGGTACCTGGGCTATCAATGTCCCTACTATCAATGCAGCTTTAATGCTAAGGTGTCACCATTTTTATCCCACACTCCTTCTGCCATTCAGAGTGAGACAGAAGAGTTGGAAGGCTTCAAGATGGAAATAAGAATCAGGATTCGCTGGCACGAACCTCACAGAGCCCTTTGCAGCTGACTTAAATCGTAGGGAATGTAAATCTACATGTCCAGCTCACACCTAAAGCCACACTTGGCATGCACGTACGTCTGACACACAGCCCTGGCACAGGGCACCCCCAAAACACCCTCTGCTGTGCCCACAGGAGCAATTCCCTGTGGTCCCCATGGACACGGCCGTGCGTTATGTCGGGCACAGGGATCCGTGGCACACACACCCACCGCACTCCCTGGCTCACACATGCACGTCTGCATCAGCCCCAGACACTCACCCTGCGCTGCCCAGAGGGGTCTCTTCCCCTCAACCTCCCTCTCCCCTCCCCAGCTTCACCCCCCCCCCTCCGTGCCCACACACCCTCCCTGAAAGGATATGGCCATTCTGTTATTCGCTTGGCGTATTTCCGTATAACATTATCTTCACTGAAGATGAAGAGGGATCTGTTGACTGTGAAGCAGTTCTGTTTGACAGGGATGGGGTTGTAGAGAGCCATAGTCCTGGCCCTCTGAGCCATCGACTGCTTATACATCCTCTGGCCGGCTTGGGGGCCACCTTGCCGGCTGCTCCCTCTTCCAGCCCCGGCCGGCCCTCCACCTCCATAGCGGGTCGGCAGATCATCCCCAAACCGAGCCATCCTCGCGGTGCACGGAGCCGGGCGCTACAATCCAAACTGGCAGCCGAGGCGAGAGGAAGACGCATCACAGCGCGCAGCACTTCTCCCTCCGGGGGCTTCAGTCGCGGGATCGGGATTGATCGCAGCAAAAATGTATTGATGTATTATAAAAAAAAAAAAAAATTAAAAAATAAAAATAAAAATCCTTTTCCCTTCCTCCACCCCCTGCGCTTCCCCCGCCGCGGTGGCTGCCCGGGGGTAGGAGGAAGGCGCCGGGGCTCCGCTCACCTCCCCGCACAGGTGCCGTCTCTCCGGCCCGACCTCATGGCCGGGGCGGCGGCGGGGGCGGCCGCGGGGGTCGCGGTGCCTCGGCTGGGCTGGGAAGGGGCTCTGCGCTGCTGCCGTGCCCGCCGCGGGAGCGCTCGCCGTGCCCAGCCCAGCCCAGCCCGGCACGGCTCCGGCACGGCCCGGCCCCGCCGCATGTGATGCCCGGAGCCAATGGGGCCGCCGCGGCTCCGCCCGCCCCAGTCACCGGCACCGGGGGGCGGGAGGAGGGAGGATGGAGCCCGGCCCGGCTCGGCAGCCACCGCCCACCTCGGTAAATACGGCGGAGCCGCGGCCCCTCCCCGGGGGAAGGAGGGATGGACCCCTCCCCTGGCCCTGCGCAGCGCTCCGCGGGCGCGCAGAGCCCCGGCCGGGGGTGCTGCCGGCTGGGAAGGGGGTGCTGCCGGCTGGGAAGGGGGTGCTGCCGGCTGGGAAGGGGGTGCTGCCGGCTGGGAAGGGGGTGCTGCGGCTGCAAAAGGACGGGGGGCACAGGCGAGGCGGCCCCCGCGCCTGCGCGCCCTGCCCAGATGTGCCCTGCCCAGATGTGCCCTGCCCAGATGAGCCGCGCCCAGGGGTGCCCCCACCGCGCAGCCCCCCAGCACCCCTGTCTGTGTGCGATCAGAAGCCCCCGGGAAGGCTCAGTCGGGGGATGGTGGGGGGACAGTGACTGGGGGTGCGGGGCAAGCAGGGGGCTCAGTTCGCAGCCCCCGGGTCAGGAGGGAATGCGGGGGGCGGGGGGTGCAGCCCCCGCAGCAGCGCCCGGGGACAAAGCGGTGCGGGGATGTGCTGGATTGAAACAGAGCTGCGCCCTTCTGGACAACTTACTTTGTTTCTCCTTGGTTTGAATGACTCCTGCAGAGCACTGGATACCTTTAATCCTGTATTTATGGACGAAATCCTTTAATCCTGTTTATTCCAACACCCTCTGTTGCTTCCCTCCACCACAAGTCAGAGCGAGAACTCCTCCTCGTTCCTGGAGCGCCGCACGGCAACAGTCACTGCAGTGGCTGGGGAGGAAATGCTTTTGCATTTCGGCTAAATTTGGGGTGCAAACTATTAACTTTTTAGAAGGGACCCTCCGGAGAAGTCAGGGCTGTCAACAGGGGGACATTTTCGCTTCCCCCACAGCAAGGAAACCCTGGACTCTGCTGCTAATGCGTTTTTTGCCTTAGTCATCCAAGCTGTCTCAGATCAAAACCAACCCACCGACCAGGCGAGCCTGTAGCAGTAACATCTGCTGGCTTCGGGAGACAAGGGACAGGGCTGGCAGCATCCACAAGTGACACAAATAAGGTCTGGCAAGAGGCAAAGGGTGACTCTCTGGAAGAAACCGGCTCCTTACCCGGGAGGGGGGGAAGGTTTGGTGTCTGAAGGGCTCTCTCACGCTGCAGCACAGCCACAGACACACTCGGAGGCAGCAGCGGCTGCCGAGGGGAGCCGGGAGCGGCTCTAACTCACCGAGACACGGCACAAAAAAGAGAGAGGGAAGAAGGTGCAGCCTCGAAACATCCCCTGCCTCAGGGGTCAGACACAGCAGGAGCCACCAGCCCGCCGACAGGGACAGGGGCACCCGGTTTGTGCCAGCCCTGGGGACCAGGGCAGCAAGAAGCAGCTCCAATCTGTAATTTGCCTGCCCGTGTGCTTGCTGGGGATGCAATAAAATAAGACTTTTTCTCCACCCCCTTTTTGTCAATTCGCAGCTTAAGCTGCGTGCTGGAGGCTTGGGGGAAAACTTTGCCCAGAGACAGACGCTGAAGTGTTTCAGCATCCCTGTTACACTCAAACACACCCTGGGCACACGTTAAAATGAGTGTTTCCTCCTGTAGCTCTTCACCCCCGGGCTCTGCTGAGCTGATCCACACAAATGGGTCTTCAGGGAAAGTTTCCTTATTTTGTGGAGGTGCAGGGAGCTCACAGGATGAGCAGGGCAGGATAATGATCTCTTTCTTCAAAGTTTTCCCTGAAAACCTTTTTTCATTTTCGTCCTCACCGTATTTCTTTCTATGATGAATTTATCTTTCGCCTGAAAATCAAGTTTCCCTCATATCTGATTTATTCAGTCGTCTACAATTTTCACTTCTCTGCTTCTGGCCACTATATCTAATATACTCTGTGGCCTTTTTCACTGGAAAAGTCTGACTCCTTTTCTCGGTAAACACTAGAAGAGGAAATGCCATTTTCAATAATCCCCCACCCTCTTCTGATGGAAATCGGCATCTGGAAAAAAAAGAAATACATTATTTTCCACAGAGATCAAGATCAAGATATACAAGATCAGTGGGGTGGATGAATGACACAACAGCTCTGAAAAGTGAGGGGGGCGGGGGGGGAATGGTTTGTATTTTGCATCAGGTCTTATTGAAAATCAGGGAAAATCCTGACCCCCACATCCCCTTCTCTCCTCCTACAGCCACCAAACCATCTCGTTTCTCCCAGGAACAAGCTCCCCACCACAGCACTGCAGTGAAGTCAGAGCCAGGGTGGTGGGGGTGTTTGTGACGAGGAGAAAACGATCCCAGCCTGTCGTGGGGATGTTCTATGAAACCACAGTTTGCCCTTCCCTCAATCTGCGTGCTCAGGGCTTCTTTTTTTTTTTTTTTTTGCTGTTGGTTTGTTTCTTTTTCCCCACACCACAAGGAAGATCACACAGATCTTAAGCATTGGAAGCCTTAAAGAAGCAAAAGAGATTGCAATTGCAAGGATTATTCAGCTTTGAGAGGCGAAGCGTCAGGATTTAGTCGGGCTTTTTAAGATTATGAGAAAAGCAGGGGAGTTAAGAGAAAGCAACAAATTTAGAGAGCTGAAACAGGTCAGACATCCATAATCTCCCATTACAGGAGGGCAAAGAGCATCCCCTGGCAAATTCTAAAAATGGATTCAGTCATGAGTAACTCCTCCTCGTAAGCCCCAAAGACAGAGGTGAGCAAATCACTCTGCTCTCCAGCACTGGCTGAGAGGAGCCTTCCTCTGCCCTGAGCAGCTTTGCCAGGCAATGAAGCATTTCCCTGGACTTTCACCTCCATCCCAAGCCTGGGACAGGTGACTGGGCTTAATGGAGCAGCACTTCCATCTGGCAAGGCAGAGACAGGGCAGAGAAAACGGTACAAGGCTGCAGGTCTGATCCTGTCAGATGGCTGGGACTCTTGGATCACCCACAGGACTGTTTATCTGCCCTGGCACAGCAGATCCCACAGACTCCTGGGACGGTCCAGATCCATCTCTGGGGGTGTCTCTGGTTAAATCCCAAAGAGGACTTCCAGCTTGCTGTGTTGCAGGGGCAGGAGCACAGGTGTCCCATGGGAGGGACAGTGGCTAAAGGTTAGGGACACAACCCCAATATCCCTTCAGTTGTCATGCCCCTCTGGGCAGGTCAGAAACAGCAGCAGAAAAGCAGATTTTTTTCCTTTAAGAGAGAAACCCCACCATGCCATGACTTGCCTGGGTCCTGCCCTACCCCTGGAGCAACTCAGAGGGAAGGTGAAGGTTTCCTTGTGTCCAGGTGAGCTCAGAGAACCGTAGACAGAGTATTATTTGCTCTCAGAATTTGCAAAACAGAGGAACAGAGCAGCCACTTCAATCCCATCTTGAAAGCCCTGGACCCAGGTTATTGCCAAGCAGAGCAGCTCCCAAGAGCACATTTCCCTTAAAAAAAACAAACAAACAACACAGACTGCACATCTCCTTCCAGCCCTCAGCAAGGTCCAGAGCTTCAGGCCAAGAAAAGCAGCTTACTGAGGTGTTCCTGGCCAGTGATTCCTGCTCTCCTCACTCCCATGCACTCATTTTGCACCAGCTGTGCTGGAGGAAAATCCTGCTGAGATGCAGGTAGAGAAAATTGTTAAAAGATTATGCTCAAGTCTGCCAGAGGATGCAGAATGGCATCGTGCAAAAGCCAGGGAGGGGAGGGCAGGGAGAAAGATGCTCTGATAAATTTAGCAAGGATAAAAAGATAAAAGAGTGAACAAAGGGAAAAGAGGCCTCTTGAAGACACAGCTCCTCTTATGTAGGTGTCATGATCACGGTGTTGTCTGTAATATCTGCAATACAGTGGCCCAGACCCCTGGGGTCAGAGACCCTCAGCTGCTCCACCAATGTGGGAAAAGAGAGAGCCTTTCCTGAGAGCTCCTCAGCTCTGGGAGCACTGATGGCAAAGCCTGGCTGGCACAGCAATTCCATCCCTGCACGAATCTCCAAGCTAAACCCATCCCAATCCCACAGCACCACCCAGCTCTGCCAGCCCAGGACACAGCAGGTCAAGTGCAGTGTGAGCAAGGCTTGGTATAAATGGTCAGAATTGAGGAGAGGGAAGTGGAGGCACTTCCAGCCTCTGACAGCGAGGTGCTTCCAGCCATGCAGCAGCTCAGGGAGGGAGAGCAGGCACTCAGTCCCAGCTCAGCACCTTCTCCAGGTCATCTCTCCACCCTGAGTGAACCCCTGGAGACCAAGAGTGCTTGTACTGGTTCTGCTTCCCTTGAACTCAATTCCTTTGTAGATGGACCACGAGTGAGGCCCAGCAGCCATGCCTTGGCTGTGGAAGGACTCATATGAACTGAGTCTGGCATCTTTGCTTCATGTCCCAGGATGCTCAACAACCAGCTCAGACAGTTCTTCGAGGAGCAGGACCTGAATAACAGCACAGCTAGAAAATTCACAGCAGTGGGTAACTGGGGAATCCAGGACACAGTGAAGGCTGCCCAGTGTTGAAGACAGAGAAGAACCTTCTCTGTAGTGCCCAGTGCCCCCAGTGCCACTGCAGGACAGCCCAGCTCCAGCACCATCGGAACAGTGTTAGTTCTGTGGGAAAACAACCTGCTTGCACACGGCCAGTGCTTGTGGCAGTGAACTCGTGATCACTGTGCTGTGATCACAGAATCACAGAATGGTCTGTGATCCCTAAGGATCATCCAGTACCACCCCCTGCCATGGGCAGGGACACCTTCCACCAGCCCAGGTTGCTCCAAGCCCCGTCCAACCTGGCCTTGGACACTTCCAGGGATGGGGCAGCCACAGCTTCTCTGGGCAACCTGTGCCAGGGTAGATCTTACCCATCCAGATTATGGATAAAAAGGACTTAAAAGGATATCAGGCTTCATATTTT